CAAAGCAAAAGAAATGGACACTAAAACTAACAGCGATCTCAAAGAGACAAGGAGGGAAAGCATGAGAGAAACAGAAAAGATTTACAAGGACTTAACTCCTTCCCGGCAGATGTTTTTAGAAAGTGTTGTCTTAAATTCGGCTGATAGAAAAGAGCTTGAGCCTTACCTCAAGATCAAGAAGCCTGTGAGATGCCACTGGGCCCCGAGGATGAGACCAAGAAGGAAGAGGCTTAAGATTGGCGGTGTTATCCCTTTGGAGACAGAGGAGGGTTGCAGAATTTCGAGTGAACGTCTAAGAAGCCATCAAGACTTTAGAGAGAATTAGCATAGATGTAAAGGCGGAAGGACTCTGAAAATTGCCCTTACGAAGAGAGCTGGAGGAGATGCTCTGGAAATCTTCTCATAACAAGTAATAAACAAACATATAAGCTTAGAAAGACAGGATCTCACAAAGTATATTGTTTATTAACAGTTTCCCCCCCCCATTACTTACTGTAGTCTAACAGGGTAATGATCTCCTACTCTTGGGTTTTTAGTTTAGTGTGGGTTACTTTTCTTTCTCCTTAGTTGTAGTTCCCCTTCCTTTCTTTTCTTTGTAGTTTATGTAATATTATAAAAAATAAAAAAATCCCCTCCGGGGGTCTTTAAAAAAAATTATGCATAATATCACTCCCTGACATTTTGTGGTTGGTCCTACCTCCTGAGACAGTCATTTTGTGTTTGGTTTTACCTTCTGTGGCAGCCATTTGGTGACTGCACCCACCACCCTGTGTCAGAATTCCAAAGGTTCCTGCAAGAGGAAAAAGGTTGGGGGCGCCTGACTTAGGTGTTACAGGAAGGGTTGCCAATCCCCAATTGGAGCCCCTCCCCCCCCGCTTCAGGGCTATCAGAAAGCATGGGGGGCGGGAATACTTGCTGGGCACTCCATTATACCCTATGGAGACTGGTCCCCATCTCTCTATATAATAATTCTCTGTTGGTGGTGGCACGTTGCTGAACATTCCACACGCTCCCATATCAATAGGCTCCCTGATGTGTCACTCAGAAGCTGTCCCTATCCACTGGCTGCGTTGCCTGAATCTCGCCTCCAACATTCTAAACATTTTGTTGTTCCTCTCCCCCCATAACCAGTCGGAACACAGAGGTCATTTACATATGCGGCCTGATTGGCCTTTGCCTCTAACATTCTAAACAATTTGCTGTTGCTGTTGGGAGTCACTAAATGTATCCTGAGGTAAAATACATATCCCAATCTTCCCTTAAATGGTCACTGGAGTTGCCAGTCTCCCTATGGGGCCTGGAGATCTCCCAGAAATCACTGTGTTCCCCAGCCACAGCAAATCATTTCCCCTACAGAAAATTTCCCAGCTATTACAACTGATCTCCGGATGACCAAGATCAGTTCTCCTGGAGACAATGGCTACTTTGGGCAGTGGACTCTATGGCATTATACCCTGCTGAAGCCCCTCCGCACCCCAAACCCTGCCCTCCCCAGGCTCTAGCCCTCAAATCTACATATATTTCCCAACCCAGAGTTGGCAACTGCGTAATTGGCTATGGAACCACTTTCCAGACCCTTGGAACCCAGAAAACATGGCATAGGAGGAGGTGCTATTCTACTTTAGCTGCCACTGCATAACACCCCCCTCCCCCTCAAAAAATAAGTCAGAGGTAGAGGGAACCATACTTGTTACAATGAGGCTGTCCTCCCATACGACCCACTTGGGGCAGCAAAATTTGAGGCAGCCCTGCCTTATAGCTAAGCAAAAGGAAAGAAACATGGCTTGCCTCCCTCTATTTTCCCCTTCCCTCTGCGACCCCACAAGCCAGGACACTCATCTGGAGCTTCCTTCTACAGCTCATTGTATTTCTCCCCACAATGGGCCTTACTCCTAGTCTATATCTATATAATAAAGTCCCCTCACCGTAAAATCAAAGCCCAGGCCAAACCGCTGGACCTAGAGACACCAAATTCAGGGAGAGCGCTCCTACCATGATGTAGGTGCTCGCTAAGATAGGATTTTTAGAAATTCAAGCCCTAAGTGGGTCAAAAAGGGGAGAATGTGCCCCCATTGATTCCTATGCGGCTGCCAGGCAGCTGCCTCTCTGCACCCCCCACTCTCTGACTGGTCAGCTGCAGAACTCAGTGTTCTGAGGTAAAAAAATACCCAACAGTTATAGAGGACTGCGGAGAGCTAATGACAGTTGAGAAAATCAGGAATGGCCAAGAACCACCTGTTAGGTGATGCAAAGCTGCTGGCCCAGCCTCTCTGATGGCTTCCAACACACTCCCCCCACATCCTACACCTTAGAGGCAGTTGTCTGTCAGGTGCAGCCCCACCTCCACAGTGACTTCTAATACTCCTCTCCTCCCCCTCCTACACGGGACAGGCAGCTACCTGTCAGGTGTAGGAGAGGAGGTGGGATGGCTTCCAACACACTCCCCCCACCTCCTACACCTAACAGGCAGTTGTCTGTTAGGTGCAGCAGTGTTTGCAGGGTGCTTAAAGCCACGAGGGAGCCTGCCCCAGCAGTAACGCCTTAGTGATCCTGCCAGCCCTGCCTCCACAGTGGCTTCTAATACTCCTCCCCCCTCCCCATCCTACACAGGACAAGCAGCTCCCTGTCAGGTGTAGGAGAGGAAGTGGGATGCTTACAGCCACCGAGGAGGTTTGCTCAGCAGGATTGCCTTAGCACTGCTGCTGGGCCAGCCTCCCCAATGCCTTTAAATACAATCCCCCCCAACACCAGATGGGCTGGTGTCTGTCAGGTGTAGGAGCAGGGCCAGGGTATTAATGTTTATGGGGAGATAGTAAAGGACATTTCTAGGAGCCATTTTGATGTGTGTCTCCCTCATGAGCCTGAAGAAATGTCCACCACATCACCACTCCTTCACACCAACTCCCCCTTACACCTCTCACCTCTTACTGCCCCCAAGAAAGCTCCTGGCAAACGTCAAGCCAGATACACCAATGCTACAAGGAGGAGGCAACTTAGGAATGTGGAACTGAGCTGCACAGGCCAAGTACCAGCAAGATCACCCTGAGGCGCTCAGAACAATACAGTCTCCATATGAGCAAAACAATCCAGGAACACAAGTAGAAAGGCCATCACTTTCGTGGAAGGTAGCAGGAGTTGACTTAACATACAACTGCTTCTTAAATGGACAGTTCTATCTGGCCTGCTCCAGAGTGAACTCACCAAGCAGCCTGGTGATCCTAGCACCTGAGGGCAGAACCACCAATATGGTCTAGAGAGAGGTCCTTCAGTAGAAGAAAAAAAGTACATATATCTCACTTCATTTCTTACACTACAGTCTTCTCCATTAAAATTCCTACAACAAATATCACATTTCAGATTTCACATCATCAGTATTATAACTGGATTTACGGAACTTAAATACCGTAGCGAAGCACGGGTAGTAGTCTGGTAAGGTATAAGGGAGAATCGATCTGTGGGCATCTGGGATTCTGGGGGGGGCTGGTTTTTGGTTAGAGGCACCGAATTTTCAGCATAGCTGCTTGTGCCTCTCCTAAAACCCAAAAAACCCCTCCCAAGTTTCAAAAAGATTGGACCAAGGGGTCCAATTCTATGAGCCCTCAAAGAAGATGCCCCTAATCCTCCATGATTTCCATTTAAATGCAATGGCAGCTCACTCAGAATTTGCTTCAGAGGTCCCTCTCCCAGTGCCACTCTTTCTACTCCCAGAGCCTCTTGGTAAGTCCCCAGCCTGCTTGTCAGTCTCACCTAGGAACCCTGGTTACAGGTAAGGTGATAGTTACAATACAGAGCAAAAGCAAAGAAAGGCCTTACAACAGACTGTGCTCCAGATTCTATTAGTATCTCTGTTCCTGTTGGCTGTTTCCTTTCTGGTAGCCAGAACAGTGAGTCTGAAAGCTACACCTCAGAGTGAAGAGAGATTTTTGCTTTCCAGGGCTCTCTGAAACATATTTGCATGGGATTTTTGCAGATGTAGTTGCTTGTACCCCTTTCAGCTCTGATTCCAGGGTTTTGACAGTTCAATGACAGAATGCTGTTCAAACAAAGTCAATTGTTTGGATGAATTTCAGTTGTTGCAGTCTGACAATGTGGACAAGTTGCTTGGAGAGTGTGGCCTACCACGTCCCTGCTTAGCCTTGCCCATTTCAATTTATTTCAGCATCCCTAAGGGGTATGTCTGGTGGGATTGGGGAGGTGGTGTTATGATGCTTCATGGGAGAAGTTTGCCATCCAAGCTTATTTGGAAGAGGCATTAGTGAGACTGTTCTTGAAGATGCTTCCTTGGTCCCTTATGGGTTTTTTGTCAGATAGTTCTAATGGGATGGATGAAAATCAATAAACGGAATCAGTCTTGTCAAAACTGAGGTAATGTTGGCTGACAATTGGGTTGAGCAATGAAGAAACATACTGTTAGCAATGAACTAAATTTCCTATAAAATATCAGGTTTGCTGTTTCGGATGCTATGAGACTTGTTGCTATAGAAGGACATCCAGGATTCAGTTACAGCACCTAGTGACTTCAACTAACTTTTGTTGGTAGCCTGCTGTATCCCTTTCTGTAAAAATGAAATCTAGCTACAGTTAATCCCTTTCGTGTCCAGGCTGGTGAAGTTTCCCCTGTTTAAAGAAGGGAGGGTATTGGACACTGGTAGAGGGGATTTACAAAAGAGATCAGCAGAATATAGTTATTATTGACTATAATTTGTACCTGTCTAATATAAATTTGCAGAGTTGTGGAGATAAATGATATACTGGAATGGGCATCTGAAATAAGTTTTCTCCCTGTATTTTTGTGTGTAATTTTTCCAAACGCTACTAGCTATTTAAATATCAGAGGAACAAACTAAAATAATGAACCAATAGGTTCTGTATGATTGGTGATGCATTATAAGAAAATTGTTCAGTTAAATAAAATTTTAGGTAGTTCCCAATCTGAGTGTTCATCTATCAAAATAGAAAATATAGTTTTATCATTATCCTCTAATTTATCTCATTTGCAGTATGAACTTCTTCAGATCCAAGCAGAATATGACTGGAAACTAAAATCAGCTGAAAATGCAATTGTCAAACTGCAAAAGAACTCCGAGTCCATTGTGGTAAGAATGTGTAATTGGATCACTGACTCACTTGCCAGTGATGATTGCATCAAGGTCACTATGTTGAACCCTATGTAAAAAAACCCAAAACCCCTTTCCTATCTATATACTATTTCCCAAACTCTGTTCCCCATGTGGATACTTATTTCAACCTATGGAGGGCTCACTCTGCCCCAAAGTTTTTTCTGCAAACTCAGGGGACTCTCTGGTTCTGCAGAAAAATCCAAAAAGTAAAAAACGAAACAAAAAACCCTTCAGGGATGGTTAAATCCCCCCCAGTACCTTTTGAAATGGCCTCTGCCGGGATCTACATCAGGCATAAATGGTGAGAGATTGGAATGTTCGGGGGGTGGGTGGGTTTCTAACTGGCTCTGTCAGTAAAAGGCAGGGGGAGTGGGAATGGCCCTTTCAGGGAGGGAGCCTTGAAGCCAGGCCTGAACAAGGTTGCCAGTGCCAGGCTGGGGAATTCCTAGTGGTTTTGTGGTGGACTCTTAAGAGGGCTGGATTTGGGGAAGGGCCATGGCTGGGTAGAATGCCACAGAGTCCACCCTCCAAAGCAGCCATTTTCTCTGGGGAGCCAGATCTCTGCTGTCTAGAGTTCAGTTGTAATTGTGATGCAGGTTTACAGGCCCCACTTGGAGGTTGGCAACCCTAGGCCTGGCAGCAGTCTAGGGTTGCCAGGTCCCTCCCCCCACCACTGGCAGGGGATGGGGAGGAGGGCTGCCAGATCAAGGCTGGGAAACTCCTGGAGATTGGGGGGGGTGGACCCTGGGGAGGACAGGGACCTCAGTGAGGTACAATGCCATAGAGTCCACCCTCCAAAGCATCTATTTTCTCCATGGGAGGTTATCTCTGTAATCTGGAGATGAACAGTAATTCCAGGGGATCCTCAGGTCCCACCTGGAGGCTGGCATCCCTAGGCAGCACCCTCTGGGTGTCTTGATAACACCTGATATGCATGACTCTAGTAGGCCCAGCTGGTTGCTACTGTTCATCAGCAGCCACCCTATGAAAGACAGTGTGGTTTAGCAGTTAGAGCTTCAAAGTAGGGTCTGTAAGATCCAAGTTCAGATCCCCATCTTGTGGTGGAGCTGACTGGGTGATTTTGGACCAGTCACATACTTTCAGCCTAGCCAACCTCATAGGGTTGTAGTGCAGATAAAAAGGAGGAGAGAATAATATAAGCTGCTTTGGTCCCCATTGTGGGGAAAGACTGTAATTTTCCTAGGTAGAGGCTGTGGGGGAGGGGGGTGGAGATGGAAAGCTGAAGACAGAGAGGCAGATAAAGGTAGGTGGGCTGTTGGGTGGGAAGGAAATAGGCTTGCCAAATCCAGGTTGAGAAATTCCAGCGCCGCCGGGCTCCAGGAGCTCTTCTCCGATGCGCGCGCTGTGCAGGGTGGGGGAAGAAGTAGGTGGGAAGGTGGGGGAGTGATTGGGTCAAAAAGAGAGAGTGATGGGGGCAGAAAGAGAAAGAGCGTGAGAGAGGTAGGGGGAGAGAGGAGGAAGCAAAGGGGTGAGGAATGGGATAACCATCCTGCAAGTTTCTTGTGTGTCTCCACTTGTCCCTGTCTATTTGAGATATTTGACTAACTAAACACAATTTAGAGCAAAGTGGGGCATATTTATATTCTTACAATTTTGCCTGGGGTATGAGGAGGGGAGGAACTTTAGACCAGTATAATGTCATAGAGTCCACCCTCTAAACCAGCCATTTCCTCCACGAGAACTACCATTGCCAGCCTCCAGGTCAGGGCTAGAGAGCACACAGAATTACAACTGTTGTCCAAGTGACAGAGATGAGTTCTCCTGTATAAAATGGCTGCTTTGGAGGGTTGAGTCTATGGCATTATACCCTGTTGAGGCTGCTTGCCTTCCCAAGCATCACTGTTCCAAGGCTCCACCCCCAAATCTCCAGGTATTTCCCAACCTGGAGCTGGCAGCCCTAAATTGAATTGATCTCTGTAGCTGGAAGATCCGTTGTGATTCCTAGAGAGCTACCACTGCTGCTGTGGGGGGAGAGGAAGCAGGCAGGAGCCTGGGAGAGTGATGGGGGCCGAAAGAGAGATTGCTGGGGTGGGGGACAGAAAGAGAGAGAAAGAGTGATGATTTGGGAGGCAGAAAAACAAAGAGAATGATGATGGGTCAGAAAGAGAGAGGAAGTAACATGCATGGAGTAAGAAAAGGAGGGCAGAAGGGAGAAAGAGTGTGAGAGAGGTAGGGGGAGAGGGGAGGAAGCAAAGGTGTGAGGAGTGGGATAACCATCCCGCACATTTCTTTCAGGTCTCCACTTGTAGTTTTCTATTGGCATAAACTTTCTCTTTGGCAAAGTGTTTTTCTCTGTACCTCTGTTAATTATTAGGCTGTTACAAAAGGATATGTGCTCTTTTCTGAATAGAAAAAATAGCCAAAAGATTTTATCTCAGCAAGTAATTGCAGATCTCCTTTCTGTCCACCCACTTTTCCTACTCTCCTTCCTCTTGCTCTCAATTTCCTTCTCAAAATGGTCTTGGCACCACAGATGTGACCCTGTAAGTTAAGGCCACAATCTGCAAGTTAACAAGTATTCTTATTTACTCCCCACCAAGTTTGTAAACCTTTGCTCTGTCCCCCAATGTTGTGGCTCATCACACCCCCAGGCGCGGGAAATCTTCTAAGGATTTTTGAGTGAATACCTTTGCCATCTCAGGCATACTTCTTCCAAAATGAGAGTACTTGCTAGTATCAAAGCTTCAAAATGGGGGGTGGGGGTGGAGTAGGTTCAATCATTTGTTGTGGAAACAGTTTAATGATATCATTTGGCAGATGCACTTCTGAGGTATGTTTTTACTTGATATGATAGACTTCTCATAGGGTATAACAATTCTCATTACAATAATATTGACTAACGCAATTCATTTTCACTTCTTGGAAGTTTATTGTGTCACACAAACTTTTTGGCAGTGTTCTAAGGAATGTGAAATATTCTCCATTCTTAGTGAAGGGGGTATCTGCTTCCATGAAGACATTTAGAACCTTGCTACCTTTCACAAATGCCTTTGATCTGATATCCAGAGTGCCTAATGTTTTACCTGAGGACACCAGGGACAGATATTCTCCCATTGACCTGTTGTGTCAGATTTTTATATGGCAAGCTTGTCTGGTCAGGAGCTTGACAGCTGCTAGATCTCTGAAGTGGAAGGTGATGTTCTTTACCTCTGACATTCATTGCCTATTTTCACTGTCCCTTCTGCTTTTTCTCTCCAGCAGCCATTCTCTTTCTTTTGCACCACATCATAAATTATGGCAGTACAATACTCTGCCATATGCACTAGTACCATTTATCAAATGGTTGTTTATAGTGTCCAGTTCTCCATGTAACCCCTTGGTAAACCAGCTGTCTGGTCTGACTTTGGAACTGTAATCTTTGGGGCGTGTGCGTGCGTATGCATGTGCACGTCTTGGGTGGGCCTACAAGTAGTCACTCAGACAGAAGAATTTTTTTCTCAGGCTCCAGTACTTCCCCCAATAATTTCAAAGACATCTTTAAACTGAGACAACTATATATTAAGACTATGAGACCACTTGTATCTTCCCATTTATTATTTCACACTGATGTACAATGCCTCTTCGCTTCCTCCCCACCCAATATTTCTGGTATAGGCTTATTTGATTGTTACTGGAAGAGGGGTCAATGTTGACACTCATTTACCAAGTAGCAATTTACCATAGGGTACATTGAGCCACGTGGCAAGTTAGTTAGTCATGGCTAAATGAGGAGCAGTTTTCCAGCCAGGAAGGGAGGTGCAGAATACAGTCGTCACTCTTCATGAGGTGATTCCTGTCCTCTTCAATTAATGGGCCATAATGAGGAATCCTAGGGATGCCAGCCTCCTGGTGGGATCTGGAGATCCCCTGGAATTACATCTTATCTCTGGACTACAGAGGAGAAATGGAATTCATGCTTTGAAGGGTGGACTCTATGGCTTTGTACCCCACTGAGGTCTCTTTCCTTCCCAGGCTCCATCAGCAAATCTCCAGGAGTTTCCAAACCTGGATCTGGCAACTCTACCCCCCCCCATCCCCT